TATTTTCTTTACGTCAAATAATTAGTAGACTACGCCACCGGCGTGATTCCGACTCGCTATTTAAGTGCAGAATACCAATAAAATGCAATGACAGTTGAATAGTAGCTCGATGGCAAGCTACTGACAAGCCATTTCTCTTAAATTTTATAACAGCAAATGTACAAAATCCTAACCATTGGCACTCTGTCGACACACAACTGAGATGACTTATAATCTCAGTGCAGAGTACTATAAAACCGACCTCAAAAGTTCGTGGAATTACATCTATTTACCAAGTTTTATTGAAATCAGTTACCGGAAAGTGCGCAAACCCGGATTTGTCTCCTAGTTCGCCACTATACGGGACTTAACACAGGAGATAATAAAAATCGGTTCTCATTGCTTAAAGTACATTGAGAAAGAAAAACGCCTTCAATTGGAGCATAGCAAAATCAACCATTCAAATAATTCCTATTTATAATTCAATTTAGGCGCTATTTGTAAAAATGAGTGGAATATTCTCTTCAAAATTATATGGGACCACTACTGAGGTACCCTCTTTCCAACAAAAAAAGAATCATCAAAACCGGTTCACAAATTATACTCGGAGTTATCGCGTAACATACATACAAAAAAACCCATGGTCGAATTGAGAACCTCCTCCTTTTTTGAAGTCGTTTAAAAATTAGCAGACTTGGGACATGGGGTAAATGAAACAAATATACGCGACAGACCCGAAAAAATAATTTCGTTTCCTGTATCGATCAAAAATGTCAAGTATAGTGTAAACATCTTTGTGTAATTGCGTTTTTTAGAACCTTTTTTTTTTCCTTGTTTTTTTACGCGCTTTACTTGTTTTCTTTGTAAGCAATTTTATAAGCGCTTTGTATTGTTTGCTAAAGGTGGAAATTCGTAAATGGCATTTGATTACTTATATTTAAATATAACTATAATCGTATAATTGGACTGTGAATTTTCCTAAAATATAAAATTAAATAAATAATCTTTCATGCTATAAAGCTGTAGTAAGTAATAAAACACGTGTTGTGTATTTCAGTGACAGTATATTAATATGTAAAGTACTTACATAGAAAGTAAGTATATAAATATATACATTACGTGTTTACATATACTTAATCGAAGAACTACTAACACCACGTTCAAATAAATGTATTTAGTAAGGCATATTTTGTAGTGAGGTTTTTCAACAAACCCGATGCGCCGTAACGCAGTGCTGAAGCGTGTTGAAAAGTGAGTTGCAATCCTAACTGCAATTAACAAAAGTGCTAATTTTATTATTTTACTTAAGTTTGATATCAGAAGAACTTTTAATAATTGATTCTTTGGAGTCCGTATCCATGCGCATTTCGATTCTTACGCCGGTCTTCCACGAAGAATCTAGATTTTTTGCGAACGGAATCTGGTTGAGCGCCAATGACTTGAACGTGAAGGTATGTTTTTGCTGAAACATAGATAAATGCCTTATAATTTACTCATCATGGCTTGTCTGCAGTGTTCTCAATAATTCATACCACTGGTATAATAAAGCCACTTCTGATCACACGTGCTTTACGTCTGATAATAATACGAACTACATGAAACAAATATTTTGTATTGTTTTTTTTGGCTTTTATCGCAGTAAGCGAGACCTGTGAGAGACTTAATGAAGCTTTTCACTCTGTCGACACCTTTGCACTTACCATAATCTGACGTGAGAAGTCGCCGTACTAATTTCAATATTGATTTTATTTAATATCATGATGCTTTACTACAATGATTTTACCCGGTCCCCCGGGTATTGTGACGTTGCGACCTCCTCCATCGCCATCCCGCCTTTTTATTACCTTTACTCTGGTTCCTGGCCGCTTATTTTCAAATTTTGAATCGTTATTCAATTCCTTCGCCTCGTCATTATCACTTTGTTTCATTTAGTTCGTCAATCTCTACTTAATGTCTGAAGCGAGCACTCTTGCTCATCCTCACCACTAATTTTGATCCGTTTACCAGTTTCCGATTCAAATCACGTAACCTATCTTTAAAATCAAGTAACCTAATTAATATTTGCAAAAAACACGGCCCTTTCAGGCCTTTTCCTTTCTTTTCCTTTCTTTCTTTATACAATAAATTCACGTGGACCGAGTAATCTATTATTATTGCTCTCTATTGGCGTTTTACAACCCTTCATATTTCTTTGTGAAATTACTTCACTAGTTTGTTATAATTGTTAATACGTAATAAATGGTCCTAATTGGATATACATACACAGGCTTGAGTCCTATCAGATCGCGAGAATCTTTGTATTAGTAGCATTGATCTACCAATGATAAATTAGAACAAAGTAGTGGAGTAATTTCACAAAATAATATTCATGATATTCAATAAAATCAATATCACATGAAACAAGTTACGTATAAAATTCCACAAATACGTAATTTGTATTGTAGCTTAACAATTATTATTTTTATAAATTTATAACACCAATAGTGACTGGACGAACAAGTCGTGCGCCTGGTGGTAAGCGACACACCTATCCATAACAGTTGCAGTGCCACTTAGAGCTTTTAATCGCAAAGATCTTCACTGCCACTGCGCTCGTCACCCTGAGACATAAGTTGACAAGTCCCATGTACCCGTAATTTCACCAACACCCTTACCAAACCGGAAAGCAGTAATGCTCACATCACCAACAAAGTTTTCGACCAATTTCATTCACAGAATTTTTAAACCTCTGTCCTGAAAGTTGTCTTTTTGTTGTGGCCTTATTACACAAAGGGTGTGTGGTTGTGTGTTCTTAAACATTTTAGAATTATAATAATAATAGTTAGTAGAGATAGTAAAAACTGCTTATTTTTTTAAACGTTTAATAGTTATGCTTTTTTTTAAAAAAGCGTGCTTATTTAAACGCTTTTTAATTTGAAGCTAGCAAAACCGTTTAGAAAACGTTTAAGCGCATAGACTTTTATGTTAAAGAAAGCTTGCAACGTTTGTGTTGATAGCGAAACCCAAGAGTAGACCACTAAAGGTTACCGATATTTAATTGTAATTGTGTTTTATTTATTATACATAAATAAGTGTAAGCGTAAGGCGAGTGGTTGCGATTGAGGCCGCAAATTTGGAACGGTGGGTGGCGCGTTGAGCGGGGCGTTCAATGTTTGCGCGTATATTTCGCGCAAACGAGTGTCTTGTGTTGGATATATCCAACACAAAACACAATGTACGGAAAAACCATGAACGCCCGCTAAACGCACTACCGTTGGGAATTTGTGGCCTGAATCTCGTTTGAAACGCATTATAAAAGAATACGCTGTGTGCATAGACTCTAAGGGTTATAACTGGGAGTGACTAAATTATGATAGACCCATTTGACACATGTGTCACTATAATTAATTTGTATTTTCTTAACGTGATACGACGTTTTATATGAAGTAAACTATATTTAAAAATATTATATAAAAAGACAAAAAGGGAACTTGTATTATCTATAGATTTATAAAGGATTTATATTTATATACTATAGATTTTGAATACATTGTTGTCTGTATTTGTTTGTTGGGCCGCTGCTACTTTGCCCAACGCATTAGCATAGGCATTCAAAGGGAGATCCAATTTTATTCATATAATTTAAAAATCCTAATTTTACTTCCTAGTATTTAAGCTTTCACTGTACCTTCCCTGTGTATTATCACAATAATATAAACCTGCTTATTTTCTTCATTAGTGTAGTACACGTAATGTTTTTATCATCGATTATGTTCCAAGCACAGGCAATCATCGTTGACACATGAATCAAGAGCTGCAAATTTTGTTTTCATTTCTCTGTGTATTCCGAAACGTGTTATACTCGTCCATATATTTTTAATGTTGTGGATCAAATATTCGTTGTATCCGAAGTCAACAAAGAACAATAGCTACACAAATCACGACATATTGTAGCTACTTAGTTCTGTTTTGACGTCTTTATAAAATGTACTATAAAGACCAGTTGAACTTTGTTATATTTTGTAAATATTTAAAGGTGGACATGAATAATTGATACTTACAGCCGGAAAAGGACATTTCATAGAAGGTAATTGTTGTAAAAGGAGTTTTCCAAAAGGATCTTCAAAAAATTTGCATAGCTTGAATGTCTTTGATAATCCCGTCGGTTGGTATTGGTCGTCGACTTTTGTAAGCAGTGTCAGAGTCAACTAAAAAGACAAGATAATTAATTCTTCTTATAGTTTTCAATACCTCATGAACATATTTAGAGGAGCGCTTAAAAAAGGTTGAATTATGATAACAATAGATAGATAAATTACTCGTTTATTTGCTGAATCACAGTACATTACAAACAAGCTTATGACATAGGTACAATGGTAATCATAAAGAAAAAGGCTAGTCTAGGTTTGCGGGTATGGTCTGGAGTGTTATATTGTATCAGGTGTAGAGTTGAGTGTACTGTGTCAGCAAAAAGGGCCCGACTCAGCATTATGCCGCAGTTCAGTCGAACTACGACGCTGATGATTCTGCCAGGTCCTAAGGTGAGCCGGTAAAAAGAAGTAACTCAGAATAAAGAATCAACACGGAGTTAGAATGCAAGGTATGTAGTTATAATATTAATTTTTTTAGTGAAAAAGTTATTATATAAGCTATAAAACGTGGACAAGGTAACTGGAAAGAAAAAAAAAGAAAGATGTAAATGTGTGAGTAAGTTGTGTGGTTGTATAATAATTGTAAATGAATGGGTGTTTTCCTTAAAGGTGTGTGTTTGTGTGTAGGTATTTAAAAAAATAAGTGGAATGTATGTGTGATTTATATATAACTATGAAACAGTATTTATGGCCGGGATAATATTTTGTAGGCAGGTAGTGTAAAAGAGATTAAGGGTAATTTGTGAACTTTGATATTTGTATCAGACACGCGTTAAAATATTCTGTAGAAAGTTTTTTTTAAGTGCGAAGTTAAAAGAGTGAATTGATGTAAGATTTCTTACGGGCGGTGGTATGTCATTCCATATTTTGGACGCGTTGTATTTGAAGCAGCCACAGAAAGCAGCCGTCTTATGGGTGGAAATACTGAGCGGGGGGGGGAACAATGTTCGTGTTAACTGGTCATATATACACGAGCGTTTAATTTTAAAATAAAAATAACTTCAATCGTCTTCTCATTTTGATGCAACGTTCTGTGTTTCTGGTATATATGTTCTCAGTAGTTAATTTAAATGTTGTAACGAAAAATATACATTCTAGTCATTGACTTACAATTATATGGACGTCGGGTCCGCGCTAAAAAGTGTCCGAACTTATAGGGCGTTAAAATCGTATACAGAGCGTCATTCACGCTTTAGTCTTCGTTTGTTTCTTCTGACAGCGAAGCAAGCAAAATTAGACAGTACTGCGATGACATTACAATTTGAATTCAACGTTTTAGCTTTTTCATATTCCTTTACATGTCACTACGTTTAAATAGGTTGACTTGGGACATTTTTTTCGTGGTTTTTGTATTAGACCCGTCGTCCATTTATTTGTAAGTCAATGATTCTAGTATGTATATTTTTCTAGAATATTTTTCTTTGCGTTCGAATTTTCTTTTTGGTTTTTTCTTGGAACTATCGCACTAATGTAGTTCTTAGTTTTTAAAATGTGTAATGCTAAGTTTTTTTATAAACAAAAGCCAACCTCAAAAGTTTGTGGAATCTTCTATCGATTTGCCAAGTCTTATTGAAATCGATTAAAGGAAAGTAGGTGAAATCCAATTATGCTGGATTCATCTCCAAATTTGTCACCCTTAGAGTTGGAAATTTTCTTCGAATTAGAATGAGACGACTACTGAGGTACCCTTTGCCAACAAAATAAGAATCGAAGTCGGTACACAAAATTGACGGAGTAATCACGTAACATACACAAAAAAATACAATCTAATTCAGAACCTCTTTTTTTGACATCGGGATATGAAAGCACGTGCATCAATTGTTTAGTTTTTCTCATTTTTGTTGACTGTTTTATTTCAAGAGGAGTGAATGGGGAGAGTGAAGGCAGTGGTACGAGATACTGTATTGGAAGTTTGCCCATAGTAATCATCCTGGATCCTTTCATCCGGTTATCAACAAGCGCGATGGATTAATTTTTCCTCCTTTCACCAACCAGCTATTTTGGTCCCAAATATCAGAGCACTGTGCTTCCTAGAACTAGGTTCCCAGTGCAACAGAAGGGACCTTCGAGATTAACTGTATCAGTGCCAGGTGGTTATTAGCCACCACCGAGGTCTATTTGGCATCATTTCATCATCGTATTTTGGAATTTTTTAATTCATACATTTGTGTATACTACAGACATCGAGTATATAACCAGAAACAGAGACGAAAGGTCATTTAATTTGTTTGGAAAGTATTCTTGCTATATCATTACGGTAACAACTGGGCCAGCCCAAATTCGAAACAATTGACGGGTGTCGTCAATTGTTGTTGTTGGCGCTGTACTATTTCAGCTTTCTAATTTGTGATTTCAGCGCAAACGAGACTTGATATTTAAAAGTGATATAAGGCCCATTTACCTGATGAGTTGCCAGGGGATGGATGGCCCTTATGTCGTCTCTATTTCTGGTTATAGATATACTCGATGACTACGGAGGTGCATTACTTTAAGAGCTTTATTTCACTCTCAGAATGCAAATTATTAGTTGTATTAAACTAGTTTATTCTTTCAAATTTAAAGATTTCCAAAATACTTACAGTTATTTTATCGTCAAATTTTATCAAATTTTCGCCTTCCATATGGATAGTGTAAGTTTCGTCATCAGCATTCTTTGTGACTGTATACACGGGGTCCTTCATGTATTTAGGGTTGTAGTACGATATCGTAGGATTCTCTATAGTGTAGTAGTTGCACTGTGAAAGATGTATTGTAATTTAATTACAGCGTTAGGTAACGCGTTCACATTGTGACTATCGATATCACTTACATATACACTATTACAATTTAAACTGTGACATGTCTCTAATTCTCTTTCTCACACATCTCATATAATATGCCACAGCAAGGTCACAGTATAGTCATAGAATAAAAAAGTAACGTATAGTATAGCAACTGTATTTCTACGTATAGAAAACTTAGGTAGGAATACTTCCCTTCCTACTTCTTACTGAACGTTAAGAAGTTAAATCAAAAAAATGTAAAGAGGGAAAGTTGACAAGTTCCATGTGCCTGTAATTTCACCAGCACCGTTATCCTTCAAAACAGGAACGCAGTAATGCTCACATTACTGTTTGGCGGCAGAAATAGGTAAGGCAGTACTTCACAAGAAGCTCTACTGGTACTCAAATGTCGATGTGGCTCTGGTAGAGTCATAGAATTACATTATTATGCCTAATTCACTTCATGTATAGAATAAAAAAATAACCGATACAAATAACATTTGACTCCAATAAAACCTTAGGATTGACTTAGAAAGCGACATATCGAAGGAATAGCATATGGCAGATGTGTCCAATATAGAGAAACTTAGGAAATGAAACTATTTTTCCAGATTTAAATCTCGCATATTTGTTTTTTTCAAACAAACCAACGTTACGGTCCCTTTACAGGTCCCATGGTCACGGTTGACTGAGTGCGCACGTTTGTTCTTGAGGTCTTCGAACCGCCGGATTTTATTTGCAACGTCCAGTCCGTACTGGTGTACATATCGAGTTTTTAGGTTACACATAGGAAGTGAAACTATTTTTCCGGATTACATATTTGTTGTTTTCAAACAAACCTACGTTTCTGGCCCTTTCCCATGGTTACGATTTAAATATGGAAAAATAGTTTCATTTCCTATGTGTAACAATCGCGAAAACCTAAGAACTCGATAGAGAAACTTGTCAAACAAGGACCGCGCGGGTTGAAGGCCTGGTGCAGCCACGGTGCAGAAGAAGAAATTCGAAGCACAAACGATTTGGACCGTTTTTCACATTGCGGTCGCGTGCTCATAAGGAAACGACTGGTAAATTACTATTTAATTTACGCTCATTCTCTGATTTGAATTACTACTGACTGTCTTTTTTTATATAATATCAATTGAAGGGACGAACAAGTCGTGCGTCTGATGGTAAGCGAGTCGCCTGTCCATAATAGTTGCAGTGCCACTCAGAGCTTTAAATTGCAAAGACCTGGACGAACTCTTTCACAAGGAGCTTTACTAACGCATGTCAGCTTCTTCTATCCTTAGAAGTAAGTTTATTGTATTTGAAAGCTTAGTAAGTTCATTAACAAAAAGCAAAGCTAAATGAAATTTCAGAAAAAAACGGAAAGACGAAAATAAAGTAAGTAAGTTTAATTTAGTAAGCTTACCTTAGCTATGGCTAGTGTAGCAGCAAAGCAAATATAAATCAAAACAGTTTTCATTTTAGCACTTCTCGCTTTTGAAGTTTCAAAAATAATATCACTGTAACCAAAATAATTACACTTTTATAGTACAATGCCAAATTACAATACAGTTTTCAACTTTATAGTTATATTGTTTGGTGACAGGAAAATGGTGTTATTATGTTCTATCAACGAATATAATTATAATAATAGGTACAACGTGACTCCATTATGAAAGATAATAGATACAGGTAAATATTTATACTTTCAGATTGTGTCATATACCTACATAATAAATAGAAAACGGATATTACAAAATTATTTAATTACACTGTGTGATACGAAATTAGTACCCATAATACCTGTAATTCAAGTTCAAAGACAAATAATCTTTATTTCATTGGTAAGCAAATTGCATTTGAAATCGCTATACTGAATAAATTCTACTGCTCACTCGTAAGACATGTGACGGTGTGACCTCCTTACATCGTCATCCGGTTCCTGGCCACTCGTATTTAAATTTAAATTTTGAATTGTTCTATAGCTCTTTTGCCTCGCATTCTGATTTTGTTTCGTTCCACCGTCACTCCCTGCTCCATCGCGCCAGCGTACATAGCTGGTTAAAATTCAATCGTGTCTAATTTTGATTCCTTTACTATAAAAAAAATAAAATAAAATAAATAACGCACACACTCAACATAGCCCCGCACTAGGGAATACCCTGTGTCGCGGGTGCCATGGACACACACATAGACAACCACAAATTACACCCAAACTCACGAGAGAAATAATTGTAGGCCATACAACTATTTCTCCCGGCCCGGGAATCGAACCTGGGACCTCTCCGTGGCAGTCCGGCATGGTAACCGTTCGGCCACGGAGGCAGTTAAAGTTTACTAATTTTATAATCACTAGTTATCTAAATCATGTGCCAATTTTAATAAGTTTATAGTCACTACAGCCTTATCATGTACCTATGAATACGTATCTGTAATTCATTTTCGGGTAAGTGTACGTAATATATTTATATTCAACATCATTAAGTTAGGAATTGTTTTATAATAATGTAACTGTTTTATCTATGTTGTATATCTGTGAATATCAATTCAATAAAAATTTTAAATACAATGAATAGCGCCACCTCTAGCCAGGGCTGTAAATTTATCTAACTGGGTGACGAAATATCATTGATTTCTCATAGATGGCGCTATGGCTAAAAAGTCGTTGAAAAACCAAATACAAAGACACGACAACAAGCACATAGAGAAATTCGTGAGGTCTGCTGGTTCGTTCCGTAGCTTAGTTGGTATAGCGTCTGCCACGGTATGCTAGAGACGTCGGTTCGAATCCGGCCGGATCGAAGGAATTTTTTCTGAGTATTCGATCTTTTCATTAATAATTATAACAAAATAGCGGAGTAATTTTACATAAAAATACATATACATTACATACACACGCACAATACATTATTATTATTATTATTCTTGAAAATTTAACTTTTTGTTGACCTGTGCCTCTACTACGAGTTTACTGTGACTATGTGAATTACTTTACAATTTTGTGTGGCAAATCATACATCGCCTCTAGGGGTCACAAGAAAAAATAACATTTTGTATGATTATAACGTTTTGAAGAAACAACAAACATTTTACACGATCTCTAGCGATAACTTTTTATTTGCAGTAGAGTTCCTTGTGAAACAGTTCGTCCAGGGAAGTACTGCCACCTTACCTATTTCTGCCCACAAGCAGTAATGTGAGCATTACTGCGTTCCGGTTTAGAAGGTTAAGGGTGCTGGTGAAATTACAGGCACATGGGACTTGTCATTTTATGTATCAGGGTGATGGTCGCTGTGGTAGTGCACATAAAATAAAGCTCTGAATGGCACTGCAACTGTTAGGGATAGGCGTCGCGCTTACCACCAGGCGCACGAATTGTTCATCCCTTCACTTGGTATTATAAAAAAAAAACTGTCAATGTAATCTCACCGTAGAGGTACTGATCACTAAAGGAAAATTTTAGCAGGGAAATAAAGTTTTTTCATGTTTTTATGTTAGAACCATAGACATGTGGTTAGAACCGATTAAAAAATGACTTTGAGATAGACCCAGAAACAAAAATCGTGTTACATACCAACAATGATTGAGATAGATTTCTACAAAAGAAAGTTTTTTAACCTCGGTACATTGTATGTAAGCATAAACATATGTTTATAATAAAATTGGTTTTTAATTATGGTTTAAATATGGTTTTTTTTTATTAAAGATTTGATTTCCAACTTACCTGATGGAAAATTACGACGAGGTCGACTATGGACCACACATACCCAAATAATGCCTATTCACTCTCGCAGGCACGGAATTCTACTACATAGCCGTTCGCCATATAAATAATATGGAAACGTAACGCTTCGTGCGAATCTTTGGAATATCAACAACATATAGGTGGAAACCCAACCTACGTCTAGTTCCCCGATTATGGAAAGGTTAAGGCGAAATTGAATCGTGCAATTCCATCGCACACTTTCCGTGATATATCCCGAAGAACATCGATATATTCATATAATATATATAATTAAGTAATGGGTGATAAACCACCACTAATGGCTGTACGTGTGTGTGCGTTACTATACTAAACCACACATTTGAACGTGTGGATTTTTGTCAGCACTTTCAATGCTGCCGCGCAATGCTGATGCTGAAGTGTGTTAAAAAGTAGGAGTAAATTTGCAACCATTGGACCAGCGCTTTTATTGGACCGCATAAATATTTTAAAAACTGGTCACATTACAAGTTTGTAAAACCGTCCAAAAGCATCGGTGGCGTCCACAATGTATCCCCGGAAGGCCAGCCTCAATACGTGACAAGAAGTGACGTCTATGGGCGTTTTTTTGGCCGATGAAATACAATAAGCACAAGAACAAAAAAGTGATATAAATATCGTTTTTAATACGTTGGTTTTAAATCTTCTAATCAAAAGTACATAAAAGCTTTATCTATTTTTCGCTTGCGTAACAAAATTACCGACAAAGAATGAATTGCTATTTTATTCTCCTCATTCTAAAAATTCACAAAGTCCAACCAAGGCAACTGTAGTCCAAATAAGGCAACCAAAATCATCATAAAATATTTTTATTAGAAAAAGATTGCTTTTTGCAAACAATAAATGTGTCTAAAAGTATAAATTAAATATCTGGTTTAATTTCTAACATTTATTTTTTCATGATATTAGAACACGAAGTTAAGTGATCGAATGATAGTAACCTTTCCCCAAGATGCACGTCAAGCTTGACACTAAATGTTTAAATTTAACTCTACGCCGCGCCGCTTGCAATAAGAACGGTCCAAAATCCAAAGTGTCAAGCTTGAGGTGCTCTTGATTGTACGAAAAAATGATTAATTTTATTCTTTTAAATAATGTTGATTTCAGTAGTGCCGCTAATAATGATTTCTTTGGTATCCGCATCCAAGCGCGTATCGAGTCTTATACCGTTCTTCCACGAAGAATCGAGTTTGTTTATAAACGGTAACTGACCGAGCGGCAATGATTTCATTGTGAAAGTGTGTTTTTGCTGAAAATAGATAGATTTTATATTAGTGTACTTCCTTATAACTCATCATGACTTATTTATTGTGTTTTCAATAATTAACCTTGGTATTACAAAGCCACGTGAGATGTGATTATACGTCAAAGGTGCGACGAGAACGGTTTCACAAAGGTGGAGAAGAGAAAAAAGAAGCCAATCAGCCTTAACCTGTGTGGCACAGAACTTTCTGCTGCGACACTGCTGCACCTGTTGCGGTTGTATTACTCCACGAAGTGTGAGGAGATAGAGATAGTGGAGTAGCCTTGGGGAAAACCGTTGCATGTTTATCGCCGTGATTATCGTTCCAGTTACAAAAAAATCACAGTGGCAAATCACCGTGGTTTTGTCACGCCTGACACTTATGTCACGATAAACGGTTTTGGCAAGCGGCTGTTTTTAACCGACTTAAAGAAGGAGGAGGTTTTCAATTCGACTGTATGTTTTTTTTGTATGTACCTATGTTACGCGATAACTCCGGTATTTGTACACCGATTTTCCTGATTTTTTCGTTGGGAAGAGGGTACCTCCATAGTGGTCCCATTTAATTTTGAAGAAAATCATCCACCTCTAAGAGTGGCTGTTCACGCATGAAGGTTCATTTTTGAAAATAGCGCCTAAATTTTATTATAAGGAGCGATTATTTTAATGGTTAATTTTGCTATTCTCTAATTCAAGGCATTTTTCTCTCTCAATATACTTTGAGTAGTGAGAACCGTTTTTTATTATCTCCTGTGTCAAGTTTCGTATAGTGGCGAACTAGGGGATGAATCCGGGTTTGCGCACTTTCCGGTAACAGATTTCAAAAAAATTTGGCAAATAGATGTAATTTCATGTACTTTTGAGGTACGTTAATACTCTGTACTGAGATTATTTATCTCAGTACAGAGTACTAAAAAAACCGACCTTAAAAGTCATTAATCCCCCAGTTTCCACCAAACCGGATTCATCCCCTAGTTTGCTACCCTCAAAAGTGAAATATTTTCTTCAAATTTCATTGGGACCACTTCTGGGATACCCTCTTTCCAATAAAAAGAATGATCAAAATCGGTTCCCAAATTCCGGAGTTATCGTGTAACACTCATGCAAAAAAAAATTAAAAAGAATGAGATTATTACTGGATATTATTGTTCTTAATAGAGGGTGCGACATTATTCGAAATTGAAAAAACGAGAATATGTATGTAGAAAAGAATCTATTTGGCATCTTTGACTATGCCGTAGGTACTTATAAATAATCACTTTTGATACTATTAATACATTTTTTTAACGTTCACACTCTTATTCTTGTTTTTTTTTTCTGCGTGGGAAGGAGGCTATAAATACCCATGGACGCCGACCATAGGTCAGGACCGAATTGCAGTCAGGCATACTTCACAAAAATGGACTCAGGTGCCTACGGACTAAAATCTGTTACTTACCTACTGCTTTTGCTGTTGCAGCGCCCTTAAATTAGT